CTTAAAATTATCGTGTTACCATGACAATACTTCATGTTTGGAATTCAGCAAGGCGAGGGTTTCTGCATGCATGTATTTTCTAGTTAATAAGTAATTCATTTAATGAGTAGGTCATTGAAATAATGGATAGTTTATGTGTTTTTCCAATATAACAATTCCTATAATTACAGTATATTTACAATAATTCCAAATATTAAATCAGAATCGATTAAGAATAATATTTAGTATAAATTTCCTAGGAAACCATAGGAAACCATAGTGATGTAACCTGAGATCAGGCTATCATTGATGCAACGCTATACACTGTGTTACATGTACTTCATGTAATACGAATTATAGAGGTTTAATGTAGATTGAAGCGTTGCATTAATTAAAGCAATTTTCGGGAGACCTATATATACAACCCTGACCCTAACTATATAGAGACAGGAAAAAACGCGGCCAGAAAATTGACAAAACGTTTTTTGCTGCCAGCTATGGCAGCTTTTTTCGAAAGTATTACGGTGTTTTTCGAGAATAATTTCTATAAAACAGAGCATGAAAGTTGAACTATTTTCCCGAGGTCTCAGAAGCAGCCCGAGAACCGAAGGTTTACACGACAGTCATTTTGAGCATGGCACGCTTAAATTTTGGCACGCGGAGCCATTTTTTGCGCACGGTACTCCTGATTTTTGTCATGTAAACGCAAAATTAAAGGGGCCCGCGTACCCAAAATTTTAGGCGGGCCGAGACCTCCTTAGGAGGTAGTCTCGGCCCGCTTAAAAATGGTTTTGTTTCTCACATTGCAAAAATATTGTGTCTGTGCAAACAAAATATCGAGGCGACGAGGGAAAATGTGGTCAGACGAAGCTATATCCGATATATATTATGCTCATGCATAAAGAAACTATTCAACTGGTATTCTTGCTACACTGACTGCAGTCGGGAAATTTTGACATCCGCCATCTTGAAAGTTTGCGCGGTTTTGACATTGAAAGGCCTGGTAACAAGTATGGAGGAGAAGCACGATCAAGTTTCATTCCTATGGATTTTACGTTGTGTCGCACTCTGGACTCTCTTGCGTGTTGAATTAATGTATTTTTCTTTGTATAACGACTCGAAAACCCCAAAATTTGGACCCAGCGAATTTTATATACAATAGTGGATTATAAACAAGGACAAGTTAAAGGTTTGACAGTTTGACTTTTTAATAAACAACTATAAATATACGTTGTAGACTCATAAACATCGATCCGTTGTGCACTTGTGTTCATTTGCATAATTATAGATTTGCACCTAATTACATTAATTTGCACCAAATTTAATTACTATAAAAATGTATTTTTTCGATTGTATTCTGCGAGGTGGCGTTGCGTGCGGCGAAGTGAAACGTGATACGGTTCGATTTGTTTTTGGAACAAGATCCAACTCCCCCCACCTTTGTAATTTCCAAATTGTTTATATTATTAGACGTTTACTGGTTGTGGTTAGAGAAGAGTTTGGGATCAGTTTTTTTCTTATAAATAAATGGAAGCAAGTTGGCGTATTTTTTAGAAGAATCGTCTATGTCTATGAACCTTTTAGCACCTGAAACTAGTCATATAATACCATTAAAAATCAAAGACTATATAATTTCTTCGCTATTATTGGCCCATCATTATTTACGGTTGATATTTGATAATCATAGTTACAGTGGGCCTGTTTTGTTTATTGGTTGTATTTATATGGTCCAGATCTCCTGTATCCCTATCTAGACTTCTCTACTACACATTACACCCTACCACGAAAGTTGACATTTTCAGGCAGGAGCAGGCTTCTTGTTACACTGGCCTGTAGGCCAAGTGTCTTAAATCCCTCTTTTTCTGTTTTTTCCGTACTCGAGAAATGGAGTTTGCGTTAGCTCATCGCAGGCTCATCTCGGCGTATAGTAATTTATGTACGTAATAGTCGACTCATGCTTGTGGTACATTTTTCGTTTATTAGCCCATACACTTGTACGCACGCGCACCATTCCAAACTCCAATGGCGACTTTTCACAGAGTGATCAAACTATATTTTACACAGTTTCGTTGAATTTTCAAAGAATTGTGCCGGTTTCCTGTGGACATCCGTTGTGTACTTGTGTTAATTTTTGCGTCGCACTCTGGACTTTCTTGCCTGTTGAATTAATGTTTTTCTTTTTGTATTAAATTAAACGACTCGAAAACCCCAAAATTTCATAAATTTATACCCAGGGAATTTATACAATATATTGGAATATAAACAAGGACAAACTCTCCTAATTCCTTACGATAGTGTTAGTCAAATGTGGACAATATACCTTTAAATACATGTATTAAAATCCGCTAAGAATGAAGAGAATTCGCGTAGCGCTGGCCGTTGGGTGCGTACTGCGCGAAATATAATCCGCGCGAAAAGCTTTGTGATAGCTATACTAAAGATAAAGCGTGCCTTCAAAATACCAACAAGAACTAGAACCATTATTGTATGGTTCTCATTTGCTAGACTTGCCACAAGTCAACCTCGAAGAAACGCATTTCGTTCGAGGTCGACTTGTGGCAAGTCTACAGTCTACTCATTTGCCTAATACAATAACATTTAGTTCGACGCGAATTTTAATACAAGTATGGTATCATATTTCATAATATAACAAACAATGTAAACTTGCCATACATTTTGCCGAACATAACTTCGGCCCCTTTGGACATATTTTTTTCGTAATAATATTATTGGCACCAGAATCGAAAACACTATTTATAGTGTTAGTTTCAAGCTTGTGTCTTGGGATTTTCATCTTTTATTTCGGTATTTACAGAATATTTATATTTTTTAGCGCGGCAATCAAAACAACGCGCTGTTTAGGAATAACCGGAAATCGATTCTGTAGGTCGGCATGACTTGCACGTGCATCAATCGAGCTATAAACGTGCGTGCGACTAAAACCCCGATATTTTGAAAAATTCAAAATACATGTAAATATTCCTACTCTGTGCCGTATTCAAACGAAACTTTGTACATGAAAGCGCTTGAATACAAGATGTATTTTACTCACACTGACTCTGAGCAAATTCTGAAGAGTTACTAAAGAATACTAAAGCAGGGTGCATTGCCTGTTAAATTAAATGGGTTAATAAGAGACCAATGTCAGATGTGTTTGTTAACCCATTTACTGACAGTACTCTGCCACTAACAAGTAAAAGCATCTGGCGTTACAGTGTAAATTGGTCTGGCGTTAGCCAGAGTTAATACTAAATTGCATTGTCAGCTAATAGGTTAATAGACCTTAATGTCCACTTTTGACCCAATGGCTTCATTTTCATGTTGGCTATTTACTCGTATTCCGTGCACACAATTTAAGAATGAGTTTGTGAACGGGCTTAAATGATAAACGAGAAGGAAACATTGGGGATAATATAACCGAGAATTGTCTAGAAGTATAAATTTTTGCATTCAGTTCATACGCCAAAAAGGCAGCACTTTCCTTGCGATAGTAACTATACGCCTCCTTGACAACAGATAACAAAGACCTTCTGTTTGTGGCCTTCTTCGTTGCTCACAGACAATGGATCGTAGAACATCCCCGATCAATGTGAACTAGGCTTTAGACCGAAAAGGTCTTTTATTTTTTTAAAAAGTCCATAAAATGCATTGCGGTTTAAGATTTGTATTCCTGCCTTTTGCACCATAGCACGTATCTCGTTATTTTCAGGCCAGTGTGAACGCCTGAGCAGGCGTCTTGTTAACAATCATTCGCCGAGGCCGAAGTGCCATACCTAATTTTAGTGTGCAGTGATAACCAATTTGTGCAGTGATAAAAGTAAAATGTGCAGTGATAAAATGTAAAATGTGCAGTGATAAAATTTGCTTTGATAAGTTGTTAATTAACACAAGAAAATGAGACAATGAGCAGAAAAACTGAACTATTCCGGCGAAATATTTTGATTGAGAATGATTTAATTGAAATTGAAATGATGACTGCCAAATTATCGAACGTCCGCATTAATAACATACTTATGGTTCATCAGATGAACAAAGTCTCTCACCAAAGATCTCTTTATGAGTTTGGAAGGAGTCAATGATACTGATAAGATTTTGTAATTACTGTATAATTTTCAGAATTCTATAGAATGTCCCCGCACATTGCAGGAGATGCCCTTTTATAGTGCCTAGATTACAAAATTGTCTGTGGGTGCATGCCCCTGGAACTCCTCTAGAGGTTTGTCACGCCTAAGCCCGCAAGCCGCCTTTCATTTGCCAAGACGAAAATACTTATTTTCTTCAGTCATGTTATTATGAAACTAAGCTGCAACAGATAGTCGTAACTGCAGGTGCTGTCAAGGCCGCCCAGAGGGGTGCAATTTGCCCTGGGACCCCAGTTAAAGGGGGGCCCAAATAAAGAATTGCAGTGAAATGTACATAGATATAACTAACTGTCAACTAGACTTCCAGAATGCAGGATTTGGCCATTTCTGGGACCTCAGATTCAAAGTTTCGGGTGATGCCCCCGGACCAGGGAATCATAGTGTTAGAACATGGAATCACGAGAGTCCCCAAGTCAAAGTTTGTCCTGGGCCCCCAAATTTCCCTGAGTGCTGTGCAGTGTATGTTCGTTTTGGCATTTTTGAATATGAATAGTAACCTGCTTTGTTGTTACACATTATTATAAGGGTGTGTTCAGAAATTTTCAGGGCGTGCTTCTGCTCGACTAAACTTTGCACAAAACTGTGCAGTGATAAAAAATTCTTAAAATTAGGTATGCGAAGTGCAATCGGTGAACATTCACCATATAAATCATGCAGTGCATGAACGGGTGAGCCTATAGCGAATCATTGTTGTGGTATAAATTTTCAACGAAACAAAGTATCTATATCGTATCAATTATCTTTCAACGAAACGGAGTATCTATAAATATCAGTTTAAATATTCAGAAATTGAACTGTTGCCACGGCTTGTCAGCGGGTTTACACGAGGTTACTGCATGTCAGTGTTGCAGACGCAGTGTTTCTTGTTGGCACACGCTTTCAAAATGGCATATCCCATATAATGACTTTATTGCTTTATTACAAAGTTGTTTATCCCCGTGAAGGTCAATGAAATATCTATAGCTTATAGAAAATAAAACACTTTGATATAATCACTTTTCAAGCACGAAGGGACCGGTCATTAATTACAGGGGAGCCAGGGAGGGCTGGTGGAAAAAGAGGGGGGGGGGGATATTTTTTGTGCATGAAAAAAAAGGGGGGGGGCAAAACTTTTTGTGCAATATAAATACCTGCCCCACATGACTCTGTCGTACCATAAAACCTACAGATAAAAAATAGAGCAGTAGAACTGTAGTAAACTCCAACATAACACTATTTATTAAACTGAATTCAACATAAACATGTACATTGGAACAGCCGTTGGCTCAATAAATGGTAAAGAATATATAAATTACGACACATGTATATAGAGCACAGTTGCCAACTCTCATGGATCCACCATGAACATCACAGATTTTACTAAAACCTCACGGTGAGCTCACAGCTTGTTAATATCTCACGGATTTCGAAACTAATTTAACTGGTTCTTAAATATATGTTGGCTTTGTTGCACATTTTAACTATTAACAGTGACTTCATTTGCGTCAAATTACATAAAACTTTTTTCTTCTGAAAAAATTCACGCCATTAAGCCAAAAATAGATAATCAAAACATCACTTCATGCAACCTCGTACTCGTGGGTATTCAACAATATGGTTTTGTATATCTAAATAAAAGCTACCAAAATTTGTCTGTATATAAGATGTAGAAGACTCTGGAAATGCCATTTCCAACAATTTAGACACTCCATATTTTCAAAATTTCCCCGCTCGGCGCCAACCATCGTGCCCCCCCCCCCCAAGCAAAATCTCACGGATATTTTTGTCCCAAAGCTGGCAACTAAGTATAGGTTATTTTGAGGCAACGAGGGGATATGTGATTTATTCACCGAGGTGCGCAGCACCGAGGTGAATAAACACATATCCCCGAGGAGCCTCAAAATAACGTACTTATTTTTCACATTTTGCCGTTAATGATCCAAAGATTGAATCATTGAATATAAACTATAATTAACACAATAAAAAGACACGTTTTGGTTTTGTGGGAGAAGGGCTGTTTTGGGGGGAAGTACTCAGTGTTTATGCCAAACGACATCCCTCCTCATCGTCACATACCTAATACTGTACTGAACTGATAATGCTAGTCAGGAGTAGCGACCCCCTGACGCATCTGACCAAGAGCACACTTGGACAGTCCCTAACCTGCCCGCTTGGGCAGTCTCTAACCTGTTTAAGGTCCACAGAACCGCTCAGACAGTCCCTATTATTTGAAATATATATTTATATGTGACGTTACTAGAGTCTATGGGAAATGAAGTTGACATAATGGAATACTTCTTCCCCGGAACCCAATGTTTATTTATTTATTACCAGTAAAGGAACCATAACAATTTTTATTATTTACCATATTGTAAAACTTGTGTCCTGCATAGGCACTTTTGCACCTCTTATAGTCTTTCACTTTGGAAAGCTTTTACTTTACCAGCGAAGACCAACCATAACAATAACATTTTATTTTTTTTAATTTATTTATTATATTATAAAAACTTGTGTCCATAGGCGCTTTTACACCTCTTATAGTCTTTCATTTTGGAAAGCTTTACAGCAGGAAGCCATTGTTTCCTTATAATATGCTAATTATAATGAGATCCTTTTACCAACTACTATGTGGACAAGGTGTTGGAAGCAAACGCAGTAACCAAAGTGCAGGGGTGGGTGGGTGGGATTTAAACTTTGTAACATGGAGCTCGAAGGTAAATCCTTCAAAAGCTTTGAGCAAATAATGCCAAAAAATTGCGCGTGATGCATAACTTATGCTCCTACTTGCCTTGCGATTGGCTGTTGGTTTTAGTTGGGATACGTAAAAGCTTTTCATTGGCTAAAAGCGTTTCTTTCATTAGTATTCACGTGAACACAGTGCTGCTTCAAGAAAATAACCTTTGACACACCAACAATACACGGAAATGTCGACTTGCACCTTTGTCATGCATGTGTCAATGAGGATAAGCTTGCAAAACACTTGCTTTCAACCTGTTGTCTCATTAACTGAATTTAAACATTTTAAATTGGCTACTGCAAAATTATGGGAAAAAACACGCTGAAAAAGTTGATTTAAAGAAAATTTAAAGCGAAAAAACGTTTGGTAAGTGTTTTCCATTGCTTGTTTAACAAAATTTCAGGTTAACGAAGATTTTTAATCGATATTTCAGGGCTTCAGGCGAAAACGTTTGTTTTAGTGTGTTGTTTTGAGGTTCGGGGAAAATTCCCGCCATTTCTATAGCGTTATAGAAACACGGGATTTTTCGCTTTTCAACCAATCAGCGCAGGCGTTATTTAGTTTATAAACTTAGAGTTAAAAAAATACATGCATCATGGAAATACATGCACATGCATACAAACTTTGTATTTTTTACGAAAATGTTAATAATTATCTGGTTTATATATATTAAGCAGAGAAATTGAAACACTTCAATACAAATTTTCGAAAACTTAAACTATCTCAATAAAAATATAGTTTCCGTTTATTTTAGTCGGGAGAAAGCTGAGAAAATTGGTAAAAATGAAATGTAAATCTAATGCTTGGAATAAAGTTTAATAAAACACTTTTCGCTACACCAAAAAGTTATGGCTGAATAGATCAGATATTGATGTCAAGTCAAGGTCGCCTCCCTGAGAAGTATCCAGGGCAAATCACGATAACAAAATAATAATAACTTTATAATAACTTTATAATGATAATAAAATACAAATCTCTCTCACTGATTTCTCACTGTTTCTCTCTCGCTGGTTAGTCTCGCATGCTTGTTAATCACGTGACTCATCACAAAATATGTCAATGTTCGTCTTGGCTTCGTAAAGCTCCGTAATGAGCCCAGTTCGCTACACACTCCCCCATGTATACTCTGAGAGTTTACATGTCACAATACGAACTGGGTAACTAAGTAATTTTATGAATAATATAAATGTTTATTACGAACTAATTAATTGTCTTTCGATGAGTGTTCACATAGCAAGTCTCTGCAATCTTTAATTAAAGTTCCTTTTCATCCTCTGCAATGTCTCTTATGCGTAACGTAGCTGC